ATGTAAAATATCTCATTAATAACTTTTATATTGATTTCATAGTGAAATGGTAATATCTTGGATATATTGGGTTGAATGAAATATATTATTAAGATTATTTTCACCTGTTTGTTTTAACTTTTTTAATGTGGCCACTGGAAAACTTAAAATTACATACATGGCTCTTACTATATTTCTATTGGAACAGATCATATCAGGCAGCATCTTGTTGAGAAAGTCTTGTTGAGTGGTCTCCTAACATCTTCTCATGACACCCTCCTACATAGCACTTATTTCATTGATTGACATTCTCTTCATGTCTCTCTACCCCTGTAGACTATAAGTTTCTCAAGAGTAGGGACCATGTTTTAGATTTCCAAGAATTGACACATAGTAGGTGCTCAATAAATACTTAGAAATAAACTAATGAATGACTAGCCACATCAAGTTCACAGATATCTTTAAATTTAATTTCGCAAACAACTATTTTTTTAGATTAATTTTCTGTCTTGTAGCTTCCTGGAGGTCCAGTTTCCTGCTATGTCTCTAGGCCATCATGTGCAGTGCCCAACCTGGGGGGCTGTACAGGGCAGTCCTACAGGCAAACCTTCTGGTTCTTTCTAGCATCCTGCTCCTAGGAGAGAAGCAGAGGAGTGCAGAGCAGAGTGAGCAGACAAGGGTGAACTCCAAGAGGAGTGGAGGAAAAAAGTGGAAAGTAAAGCGAGCTGGAAGCAAGACTTCCCTCTCTGCCTTCTGTGGCAATGTGAGCTGAGCATTGCTGCCAAGCAAACAGCAGTGGGGAAGGGTGGGAAGGAGAAGCTGGGCTGGTTGTGGTATGCCACTGGGTGGAGTTAAAATTTATAACAAGGGAGAGGCAGCTGGAGAAAAGAAAGATTCTTTTAAAAATTCTGCTGAAGCCTAATTAAAAAAAATTCCACTCCCTCATGCTGAGTTTTAAGAGACTTCCCTTTCAGAATTATTTTCAGTCTGGTGGTAACAGGCAGGAAGAGTGTCAGATGTTCACCAAGCTATAAAGAGGACACTCCCCACCCCTACAACACAAGGCTGGCCCACATTGCTTTTCTGACTTGTGTTATGAGGATACAGGATGTGAAATTGTCAAGGCATAGATCTTTCCGGAAAGGAGTGTCCTGTGTGGTTAGAAAAAAATGCCTGCAGTATTTTGCAGCCCTTCCCACCAAGAGGTAGGATCAATTTTGCTAGCCCTAGAATCTGGGTTATATCCATGGGACATTAGAAAACCTGATGCATGCAGAGGCTTGAAATATGCTTATGCACTGGAGCTTGCTCTCCTTTGCTATTTCTGGAATCTAGCCCCCATGTGAAGAAGTCTAGGCTAGCTTGCTAGATAATAGAAACATGTGGCCTGGCCACCCTGGTGGATCCCCACCAGCTGCCAGACGTATAAATGACACTATCTGGAACAACCAGGCTTCAGGTAATCCTCCAGCTGACTGTAGCCATGTAAGCAAGTTCAGGTGAACCCAGCAGAAGAACTTCCCTGCTGAACCCAACCCAACTTGCCAATCACCAGAATGGTGAGTTAATAAATGATTGTTGTTTTGTCTATAAGCTTTGAGGTAGGTTTTTTTTGTTTTGTTTTATGTGACGCTGTGGTCTGAATGTTATGTTCCTGCAAAACTCATATGTTGAAACCTAATCCCCTGTGTGATAATTTTAAGGAGGTGATTAGGTCATGACATCTCTGCCCTCATGAATGAGATCAGTGTGCTTGTAAAAGAGACCTGGGGGAGCTTGTTTACCTCTTCCAACATGTGAAGACACAGCAAGAAGGTGCTGTCTATGAGGAATGGGCCTTCACTAGATACCAAATTTGCCAATGCCTTGATCTTGGACTTCACAGCCTCCAGAACTGTGAGAAATAAATTTCTGTTATTTATAAGCTACCCAGTTTATGGTATTTTTGTTATAGCATCTTGAATGGACTAAGAAATGTGGTAAAACAAACAAACAAACAAACAAACAAACAAACAAACAAAACCCAATCCCATTAATACATTCTGATAAGCAACAGGAAAACCCATGTAGAAATAGCCACCTTACAACTTAATATAGGAAAACTACTATAAAGGAGTATTTCAAAACATTCATAGAAAGATTCATATTATCTTTTAATTCTATTTTCCATGAAATTTTTGAAGTGCCCTTATAATAGAATGTTTTAGTCTATTTGGGCTGCTGTAACAAAATACCACAAACTGGGTAATTTACAAATAACAGACATTTATTTCTCATAGTTGTGGAAGCTGGGAAGTCCCGGATCAGGGTGCCAGGAGATACGGTATCTGGTGAGGGCTTGCTTCCCAGTTCATAGATGGTGCCTTGTTGCTGTGTCCTCCCATGGTGGAAGGGACAAGCTTGCTCTTCGGGGCCTCTTTTATATGAGCACTAATCCTATTCATGAGGGTTCCAGACTCATGACCTAATTGCCTCCTAAAGATCCCACCTCCTCATACCATTATATTGAGGGTTAGGTTTCAATACTCAGACCATAGCATAGTGACTCAGAGTGCGGGCTTTGGAGCCAGGCGGATATGGTCCCACTGCTTGCTTGGTGTGATGTCAGGCATCCTTGGTAACAGCAGTAACAATGACCGTACCTAATTTGCAAGGTTGTAATGAGAACTGTGTCAGCCAAGGTGCCACACCTGAATTAGGATACTTTGAGGAGAGTTTATATAGAGATTACTGTATTTACAAAGGTGTGGTTAGGGTTCAGGGAAACACAAGGGGGAGTATAGTGCCCTGGGGTCATGTTACCACCCAGGTGTGAGAAGCAAGAGAGGGCACAGTGACCTAAAGCTAGGGACAGAGCAGGAGGGTCAAGAGGGCCACTGGAAAGGAGCCACAACTTTGCATTGAGAGATAAAGCCATTCTGCAGTGATGTGGCTGGTAAGAAGCTGGGAGAATAGAAACTCTGATATAGCTTATTCCTCCCACCTTTTTCTTGCCTGTGCCTCTTGTTGGCCAAATCCAACCAGAAGCCACTGGACATACAGATCAGCCTCCTGTGGCAAAAAGCAAGGTGGAGAAGGAGGAAGAGTAGATCTGGGGCAAATGGAAGGTATCTTGGCCAAGAATATAAAAGCAACAATGTGTGTAAAAGCACTGAACGTGTACCTAATGCCCAGTAATTATTTGGTGTAATAATTAATAATAATAATAATGATAATAATAATAATAATAATTATAGTGAGGCAGCTCGTTGGTAAGGGGATTGAACCCTGAACCTTGGTGTTATCAGCACCATGCACTAGTCAACTGAGCTAACCAGCCAGGCTTTACCGTAATTTTATTATCAGTAGAAACCAAGGGCTATGGGTGTCAGATGAGGAAACGAGTATTTTTTTGCTAGGGTGACCTGCAGAATAATCATGGAGGAGGTACTCTTTGAGTTGTTCAGAGGAATGGGAAAAATAATAACAATAACGATAAGTGTGAACACAAGGAATTTACTATGTGCAGGTACCACTCTGAATGCCTTACACAAATTATTTGTTCATTTCTCATGTCCACCTTATGGGGTAGATACTGTTGTTATCCCCATTTCACAGATGAGTAATTAGGGCAGAGAGAAGTTAGATAACTCAACTGAGGTTACACAGCTAATAGTAGTGGAGCCAGGATTTGAACCAATTTCAAAGGGGGTGTGGACATGGCATTTATTTCTTTAAGCAGAGAGCTGGAAAATGCATGTAGAAGAAGTAGCAAGTCTTCCAGATGGACTAGAGGGTGGGGTCTGTGCTGGCAGACAGCAAGAGACAGTCTGGAGAGAGAGTGCTAAGGACCAGATTGCTGAAGGTGAGAAGGATACACTGAGGAATTTGGCCTCCCTTCTGGTTGGTGATAGGAAGCCACCGAGGATTTCAGAGAAGAGAAAGGCAATCACAGCAGTGCACCAGGAAACTGATCAGTGTGCAGGGCCCAACTAACAAAGCAGGGAGCAAGTAGAAGCCAGGCCATCAGCTACAGGGTACTGCAGTGGTCCAAGCACCAGGTCCAGACATGAGTGAGGATGATACCAACTGAGACGGGGGAAGGGACACTGGAATTGTACTGCGAGGGAAAGCTCAACAGGACTTGGGGACTGATGAGCTGGGGGTATTAAGGGGACCCGGAGAAAGAAAAGCAGGAGGTTTGGGACTCAGGTGACAGGTTAATGATGGTATCAGATGCACCACTCAGCCACACTTAGTGTACATGTTGGAAAAAATCAAGTGTACATCAGCCATTCTTGTGTGTTTTCTGGTTACAATGCAAATACCATGAAGTTGTACCACCCACGCCTACCATAATCAGTTCAAAATACCAACCCATTTTGCAATGTCAGCTCCTGGAAATTTCACTTGTGAGCCTGGGACAAGGATGGGGATGGATTCAAGGATTTCAGGATATGGTGAAATTAGTTCTGTGGAAGCTGGAAGGATGCTTGGTTGCCCAGCGACAATGCAGTCTCCACAGCAGCCCTTGGTTTCCTGCAGTCCTGGATGCATCTCATTAAAAGGAAAGAGGGAAGGATGGCTGACACATTTTCTGAAGTGGCATTTTCAATGTCCCAAGTCCTGGTATCTTGTTTATAAGTGGCACTTACACAATATAAGGGAAAAGAAAAAAGGGGAGAGGACGAAAGGTCTCCTAGGATCTCAAGCACGTGAGAAGTTGATCTTGACTCTCCGATTTCAGCTTGTCTAAGAGACGGGGTGCAGAGCCTCCTTGAAATCCACCTGAAATGAATTAGCCTGGAGTAAAAGTAGGTGTTTATCTCAAGTCATTGCCTCAAATAGCTGACTACCTGTTGGAAGAAGGGTCTGATCGATGCAAACCAGAGCAGCCGTGCGTGAGCTGTTACACAGCGGTTAGTATTGATCAGAGCTAAAGGCTGCCGATAGGAATGTGAAGTGAACTGACAGGCAGAGAAGAGAGAAGAAGGAAACAGCCTTCGCTGTTGGCAGCTGTACAGAGGTAAGCCGATAAAAAGTCAATTCCATTTAACTGAATGGCTGCTAACTAAATATTTTGGGGGCCAGATCCTTCCTAGGTAGCAGCTGGAGCATCTCTTTTCCGGAACTGAGACATCAAGTGGGAGCTGGGCATCGACAGGTGAGATCACTGGGCCCTGGTGATGGATGGGGAAGAGGCGAGCCCCTGGGTGGAGGGGTGAATGGCTTTGGTCTCAGCTGAGCTGACTGGGGCACTGGAGGACAACCTCTGACCACGGAGTGCTGCTGACAGGCAGGAAAGGGACAAGGGCCAGGCTGGAAGTTGTGAAACAGTCGCTGATTAATTAGTTCATTTAAAACCTCCATACTTTTCTCCAAACTTAAGAGCTGTTGAAACTAACGGCATGAACATCAGCTGGCCCTATCACAGAGGGAAGCGGAACAGTGCCTTATAGAGAAGTCAAGACACTGGCTTTGGGGGTATGGCATTCGCTAATAACTTGTTTTCCTGAACTTCTGTTCACTCAGAAGGATTGCAGTCCTTTTTCTTGCATTAGGTGTGACCATGTAACTTGTTTTGGCCAATGAAATGTGAGTAGATGTGACATGTGTCCTTCTGGGTGAACATTTAATTGCTGGGGACAACTTTCCTGCTCTTTGCTTGCCACTGTGACCCAGATGCTTGGGTTGATATGGATAAGAAGGAAACGGTCTGGATTTTGTGTGAGTGAGGATTAAAGTTCTACAGTGTCACACTCCTGAATTTTGGGGCTCATTTGTTATGCAGCATAACTGAATCTTTTCTGACTGATACAGGGGAATTTGGTATAGAATCCTGTTTCTGCAAGGTGCTAGTAGTTGGGTGATTGGGCCTATTACTTAATCCATCCAGATCTTGGTTTAATCTCTATAAAGCACATAAAAACAGCAATGACCACAATAAAAATAACCAGGTACTGAATGCTTACAAGGTGCAGGCAGGCATAGCAAAGGCTCTGCACATATTAACGCATATAATTCTCAAAGTAATCCTGTGAACAGTCTACTATTGTCCCCATTTTGTAAATGTGGAACTCAAAGCTCAGGGAGGTTGAAAGAGTTTCCCATGATCACACAGCTTATAAATGACAGGCAGGAATTCAAACCCAGGAAGACCAACTCCAGAGCACTTTTTCTTACCTATTATCCTATACTGACTCTCAGCTTAGGTGCTTAATAACTAACTATCCTCTTATTATAGGCTTGGGAATAAATCCAGTGACAGACTCACACCCAAGCATCTTATATGGGAGAAGCAGAAAAAATATGGCTAGTTTCATACCCCCTGCACCCTTATAAGCCTCTGTAGGGTTTGAGACGGTCTGGAATGTTCTTCTTCACCTGTTCCCAAAATGCTCATTATTTCTAAAGGTCCAGATCAATCCACTGCTCATTTGTAACGCAAAAAAGGGAATTCCTTATCACTGGAGGAGGCTGTCAGAGAAAATTATTTTGAGGAGTTTCTCATCTATAAAATGGGGCTGATAACACCCACCCCACTGGGTTGTTATAGTGATATTTTTCATTAAAAAAAATCACTAGGTTCTAGACCCTATACTATGTGATTTTGTATACAAATCTTCATAGCACTCCTAGGAGGAAGATATTATATTATATACATTTTACAGATGAGCAAACTGAGGCTGAGAGAATTTAAATACTTGTTCAGAGGCCACCTAGCTAGAAAAGAGGATGAGGGTTAGTTCAAACAATATTCTAAAGCCTGTTCTCCTATCTCTTAATCTCTATACCTCCCTCCCTCTTGTGGAATTGAAATTAAATAGCAAAATTAAGATTTTGTTGGAGTACAGCATGTGACACATAATAGCAGCTCAATGAATTATAACACTTATTTTGATTCATTCATACACATTTATTGAGCATCTACAGTGCACTAAGTAGTGTGGCCCAAGAAAATCCTAAAGGAATTCTTCAAGGAACTTTGAAAACAAACACATAAGGAAGTCTTGTCCATGCTGTGTTTCAAGACATCTCTGAACTGCCTGCAGTGCCAAATCCTTAGAAAGCACTGAACAGAGGGATCCCAAGCCGACAGGTGGGCAGCGTGCAGGGGGCAGCAGCAGCTCTCACCATGCTGACAGGTTTCCTCAGTGCATCTCAGTCCTCCTGCAAAGCACCTTTAGCCACACTTCAGCCTGCAGGAGGTCTGGACTGCTGGAAGTTTCCTCCAAGTGAGAGGAACCCTTGGAGAGTACAGATCATTCATGATGACGTGCAATCTGCCCAAGGCCCCTGAGGATGGTGACATACTTGTCCCATGTCCAAAGCTGGTATCTGAACCCAGGACTGAGCTTCTGGCCACTGCAGCATGCTGCCCTTTCCTTAAGACCTCACCTCAGGCGTGGGAGAGAAGGCTGGTGACTGACACTGCTTGACCACAATTGGGATTTGCCTGGCTCATCTGTGTGTTCCATCTGGCCCCGTGGGAGAGAGGAAGAGTTCTCATCTCTTATCAAGTGAACCCCCATGAGATCCCCTAGGAGAAAGGGGTCCCACACAGTCCAAGCACTGATAACTCTGTGCTGGGTATCGTGGTAGGTCTCTCCTTAAACCTTCCCACATCCTTCTCAAGTGGACACCATTGAGCCCAAGGAATTGGTGAGGACACTGAGCCTCAGAGAGGATAAGTGATATCTAGTGTTGGTCCCTGTTTTCCCTGAGCCCTTCTGAGACCATTTCACAATTTTCTGAGTAACAGCCCTTCTAAGTACCTTAATTAGGGGATCATCTTTGCTCACTGCTGGTCAAATGCTAGCTCCTTGAGAAATGTATTCCATTTATTGATATATCAATGCAATGACGTGTGTGTGTGTGTGTGTGTGTGTGTGTGTGTGAACACGTACTCACCAATTTCTGTGGTCAGGCTCCTCTCAGCCAATATTTTGGGTATGTGCTCAGGGGAGTGTGCTCAAGCTATTTTGAGTTTCTGTACTTAACGCTTAGCAACTTTAATAAACTTCATTCCTTTAGGTAGTAGACTTAATATTTTAAGTATGGTTTTAATTACCATCCTCCTTGTGTTTAAGGCAAAACCAGGAAAAGGGAGAAAAACATCTAACCTCTGAGCACTGCCAACGATTCCACTCTTTGTGAGAACGAACGCCAGAATTCCAGAACGTGGAGGCTGCAGCTCTCCCTACGTGGTTTTTTAGGGCACGGGCACATCATGCTTAAATCATTTCTGATTTTGCTGGGTTCTATGATCCCAGAACAGGCTGTAAACATTTGTCTTTAGGCTTTCCCAGAAATGTGTCTTATGGAAGGGATTAGCTGTTTGTGCATTCAAAGTGCCGAAGGTGAGTCCCTCCAACCCAACCCACATAATTAAAGTGGAAAATTTTGGGTGGGGACAAAAAAAAAAAAAAGTCAGAGAAAATACCATGTTTGGGAAGAGAGCTATACTCCGACAGTCTCAAGAGATGGCTCTGCTTTCTTGGGTACTTAATTATATCCCATCTTGCTGTGTGCTCTGGTTATTTCATCTTTTCGGTCTTAACTCTGCATTGAGATGATAAGCAACTTGAGGGCAAGGAGCGTGACACTGGAGTGGAGCACGTGGTTGGTTTTTTTTTTTTTTTTTTTTTTTTTGTGGCTGGCAGGTGTGGGGATCCGAACCCTTGACCTTGGAGTTATAACACTACTTTCTAACCAACTGAGCTAACCGACCAGCCCCTCACAGTATCATTTTTAAATGGTACATTCATTAATTTTTTAATCCGAAGTAGAAAAGGAAGAAGTAACAAAGAACAAAATAAAACAATCGTTTTATAGTTCAGATTAAATCCTGTTGGTATAAAACAAAACCAATTTGTGGAGCCAAGTTTGAAAATTCAGATAATACAGAAAAGTACAAAATGAAAATGACAAATCCTGCTATCCTCATTCTAGCCCAGTCCTTCACAACCAAAACTCCTACTGTTAACATTTAAAAAATATATTCATGATATAATTTTAGTGGCACCTACAAAGGCCCGCTTCCTGTGTATTGTCTGTGCTCTCTGCTGTGATGCCTGAAGTTTGACCGTTGTAGATTCAGAACTTTCCATGTAAGTACCATAGGCTTAAATTATTTCTTTTATTCAAAAATATTCTTATTTAAAAATGCAAATGTCAAGAAGGAATATTAAACATTTGTCATCCATCACCCTCCAAATGGAGCTTGGTGCCTGAGCTGAGAGGGTTAGTTCTGGAATTAGACCACCAAGGCTGAAATCCAGGTTCTATCCCTTGCTGGCTCTAATTAACCTCTCTGTGCCTCAGTTTTTGCATCTGTAAAGTGGGGTAATAATAGTACATGCTTCCTAGGGCTGTCATGAGAATTCAATGAAAGTATAGAAAAGTACTGAGAGCAAGGCAATACATAGCATTACATAGTAGGTATTGAAAAATGTTAGCTATTATATTTATTACATATAATTAATACCTAAATAGAAATGATTTTTAAAACTGCCCTTTTGGAGTGCCTAAGCAACGCCTAACATGATTTGAAGTGCTTTATGTACGTGACTCGTACAATCTTCCATATAGCCCTAAGAAGGGGGTTCTAGTAAAAATCCATTTTACAGAAGAGACAACTCAAAAGCATAATGCAGCTTGCCCAAGGTCATGCAGCTAAGCTGCATGGGAAGCTGGGCTTTGAGGGCACATCTTCTGATTCTACTAGGCCAGCTAAGCACAGGGTAGTTTCAAGAAGGGAGCACAGAGCGGGACTTCTGGACGCAGAGATGCTAGGCACAGTGGGGGCTAATGCAGTGGGAGAGAACAGGGTAGGGGGCATGCCTGGAGGAGAGGGGAAGGCTGCAAAGAGGAGGAGAAGCATCAAAGGAGCTTTGCCCTTAATGTGATTTTGCCTGGGGCCAGCACAAGATCTGATTTCCTTTGTGGTCTCCCATGTTGCCTGGAGCAGGGAGTTGCTGGAAGCCACAGGATCCAAGACCTAAAACTAGGTATTCCAGTTCTACCGTGAGTTTCATGACCTTGGCAACTCACATCACTTCCCCAGCCAGTTTCCTCTTCTGTAACATGGGATCATAAATCCTGATTCACCTGCCTCGTGTGGCTGTTGTAAGGCTCAAATGAGTCTGGGGATGTTGAAGTGCCTGGTTAACTAGAAAGAATTGCACAGAGATGCTAGCTATTGTTATTGGCATGATGCATACCTGTGATTCAGAAGGGGGATGTGCTTGGTCCTATAAAACTTCAGCTTAGCAAGGACCCCAAACATGTACCTCTCCAGGGAAGAGTTTATAGGACTAGAGATCTTGATATTGTCTATCACCAATTCAAGAACAGGTAAGGAGACTGGGAGCCTCACGGATGAACAGTATTACTGTTATTTAGGTTCAGTGATAGCAGGTTTGAGGAACACATCATAGTCAGCCCTCTTTTCTCTGTACTTCCACTCCCTAGCAATTCGGGGCAAGCTGGGACTGGTTGATATCCTCTCTGACGTGTTGGAATTTGTCCTGCTTTATGATCTGGTCTGCTGCAGGACCACCTATCCCATGGAGACACAAAGCCATCGGCAGCATGCTGGCCATTTCTTATGGATCTGATATCCTGTGTCTCGGTTGTATTTCAGGCCAACTTTTAGTGAAGTGGATCAATGCTTGAAGCACATAATGTAACGTGATTCTTCAAGAGTTTGATTAATTGTGGCACAGTCACCGTCTCAGTTCAGGTTCAACCTTTTAAAAGTTTTATTATTGTATAAAGTGATCAATCAGGAGGAGGGGAAAGACAAATACTCAGCATTGGTCATAGGTCCCCTCTTCTTTGTCAGCAAGTGTTCCTCTCCTGGTCAGTTCAGCCAGATCATGATGAAGAGATGGGGGTTCATGAAGATTTGTGGTGCAGCAGAATTTGGACAAAGAAAGAGGCCTGCAGGTGCTGTGTGTGGAAGGTAAGCTGCTCCAGTGCTGATCAACCGTGCACATGGGGCAAGAACTCGGGGAGCCTGATGAAGTTTGGAGTCTTGCGTCCCACCCTCAGGGACTCTGATGTCATTAGTCTGCAGCAAGATCAGGGCATCCCTGGGGATTCATATGTGTAGCCAAGTGTTATGGGCTTAATTGTGTCCCCCATAAATTAATAAGTTGAAGTTCTAAGCCCCAGTACTCCAGAATGTGACTGTATTTGAAGGTGGGGTGTTAAAGAGGTAATTAGGGTAAAATGAGGTCACAAGGGTGGGCTCTAACCAAATAGGATTGATGTTCTTGTAAGAAGAGAGATTAGGACATGGACACACATAGAGGAAAGACCCTGTGAACACACAAGAGGAGGATGTCCGTCCACACGCTGAGGTGAGAGGTCTCATAAGAAATCAACCCTGCTCACACCTTGATCTTGGACCTACAGAATTGTGAGAAAATAAATTTCTGGCCTACAGAATTGTGAAAAATAAAATTTCTGTTGTTTCAGGCACCCAATTTGTGGTATTTTGGGGGCTCCTGTCTCACAAAGTCTGTTTTCTCTGTCTCCAGGACCCTCTCCTAGGTCCCATCCCTCTGGAACGTGCTCTCAAAGTAATCTCCAATGGGGTATTAGTGAATAAGGATTTAAGGTTTTAGTCCTCCCAGAAGTGCCTGTATTTTAATATGGGATTCTTAAAGTTAGACTACCTAGAGTAATCTAGCTGTAACAGAGGGGTTTCGGCCCTACCAAGAAGGTAGCTGAGATGCATTTGGGCTGATGGTTTTCCAATCATCACTATTGTAGTAAAAATCAATACTTATTATGTGCCAAACGCTGTTCTAAATGCTCTATCTCTATCCCTTCATTCATTAAATCCTCCAAACAGCCATGAGTAGCAGTGCTTATATGATGAAACTGAGGCCCACAAGTGTTGAGTAACATATCCAAGGTCTTGCAGACAGTAAACCATAGAGCCAGGATTTATACCCAGGAAGTCTGACTCCAGATATCATGCTATCAACCACTCACTGCTCAAACGACCCCAGTGGTCTCTACCAAGTTCAGGACAGAACCTGCAGGCTCGCTTTGTTTTTCCAACAGAAGCTGTTGAGGACCTTCCCTGTTATTTCTCCCTTTGGAAATCCCTGAATATGTGCCCTCTGCGGGAGATTAAAAAAAAAAATTATTCGTAAGTATTGACCTTGCCTATGAGAGGATTTACTTCTCCTGCCTCATTGACATCAGACTTAGCCACGTGACTTGCTTTGGCTGCCAATAAATTGTGAGAGGAAGTGACGTATGCTGCTGAGTGGAGCTTTAAATGCCTGCTTCCAGGTTTCTCTTCTCCCTTCTAGAACAGGGATGTTTTGAAGCCAGGGCAGGGCTGCTCCTTCAGCTCAGGTCTCAGAATAAAGATAAAAAGGAGGAGGAATGTAACCACCTGTGAGTGAAAAGTACATCTTTGCCACAAGCCACTGAGACTTGAGGGTGTTCATTATGGCAGCATTACTTGGTAAACACTGACCAACACTCTCTCTGAATATCAATATATTTCATGTGAAATGCCAGGAATATTGTAAGGATGATATTCTTAAATATTCCATGAGTACATCCTTAAATAATCAATAAATTATATTATAGTTAACCAAGCAATCTTGCAAAGCAGCTGTCCACCTTCCACAAATACTTTATGCATCTATCTACCCCCATGTCAGAAGGCTAAGAGATCATAAGCATTTCCCTAGCCCAGGACACCCATAGTTCATTCACCAGCCCAATACTTACGAACAGAATCAGAAAGAAAGGATAGAGCAGACTAAAGGTTATTTTACGTTCCATGATATTGATAGAATGGGAGAGAAATAGGATATATTTTACTTTACAGATGGGATATAGGACAGACTTGATGAGACTCTTCCTTATCCAAGGACAGAAAATGAAAGAACCCTTCAATGTAAATTATCCACTCCATGCTTTAGAACCTCTTGCTGTTTTTAGTTCCCAGCTGCTTACTTCTCTCTCATACAGGTTGCAAACTTATGACCCATGAGCTGAACGTGGCATGTAGAAGTCTTTTATTTGGTCTATACCAAATAAAACCCCATTCTAAGTGTTTGAATCAATTGACTGCCAACATTCAAAACATGATATTTCACATAAGAAAAATTACTTCCCGTTTGCCTTGAAAATTTGAGAGTCCTGGTTACACTGGGCTTGGGAATCACCAGCTGGAGCTGAGCAGCAGCTAACCCTTAGGCTAGGCATGTTTTCCACAGTCCCTACCTCTCCCTGTTGCCTTATACCAGGTCCACTTCACTTATTTATATTCTTTGCTTAATCTATGCAGCCTTTGAGTTTGCCACCCTGGGGATCAACTTCCTTCCTTTTTTTGTTCTCACGTCTTTCATAGTAATGAAGGATTTCTCTGGGAGCTCCTTCTTTACCACTCTGAGGACATCACTCTGTCCCCTGTTCTCAGAATTTGAAGTGGGGCCGACCCTGTGGCGCACTCGGGAGAGTGCGGTGCTGGGAGCGCAGCAGCACTCCCGCCGCAGGTTCGGATCCTATATAGGAATGGCTGGTGCACTCCCTGGCTGAGCGCGGTGCGGGCGACACCAAGCCAAGGGTTGCGATCCCCTTACTGGTCACAAAAAAAGACAAAAAAAAAAAAAAAAAAAAAAAAAAAAAAAGAATTTGAAGTGACCCAGACTTATCAGCCCAGTTCTTTTGGTTCCAAAGAGAGTCACTCTAAACTAAGACCATTCTGGGGGTAGAAGGAATAAATGTTTTCCTCTGGGAATTGTGACTATGTTTATCCAATGGATTCTGTAGCACTTACTGATTTCATACTCGCATAGCTAGAAGGTCTTGAGCAGCATAAGCCTCCTGCACACTAGATAATTCTGTTGCTTAACAAACCATAACAACTTTGATTGCATGGAGAACACTAGCAGCAAATGATTTGAAAATGATTTTACTGATTTCTGTTATGGAAACTCACATATAGGAATATTATGGAACTGTTTTGAAAATTTCTTTAGCCTTCATCTTTGATATTTCAGCAATTCTACATTTAAAAAAATCAGAGCTAATGGGACCTCTATATGCTTTATTGACATCTACACTAGAGAGAGCCATCTAGAGCCATCTGCATCAAGTAGACAGTGGCAAGGCATTTCCAAACCTCTAGTATACCCTTTTCTTTTTCTGTATGAAATCTGTTGTTATACTGACCTCTCACTGGATAAAACATCACACCAAGGCTCAGGGATTGTAAACCTAGGGTGAGGCTATGCAGACTGGAATACGGAGTGTGGACATTGAGATATAGACTGTGCGCTTCCCAAACTCAGTAATCAGAGTTCTCAGGCCAGCATTCAGCT